TCGGTCCCGAGGTCGTTGCGGCGGAACAACTCCATACCACCACCACCACCACCACCGACCCGGCGTCTCTCGGGCGCTTCGGTGGGAGCTGGTGGTGCTCCGGGGAGGAAACCATCTCCTCTCCTCTGGGCCGGCGAGGTTTCCCTAGCGCCTAGCTCGATCATCGTGGCCATCGAGGGTAGCACGAACCCGACGACGACGGGCCACAAGGAGTGATCTCTACCGCGCATATTCGGGTATTTCTCTGGTGTTATAATGGCCTCCCCTCCCAAATATGTGTGTCTTCGTCTTCCGGCCGCGGGTCTTTTTCACATCCATACACATACGTGCGTTGAAGCCCGCCCACAAGTCCAGGAGAGAGAAAAACGACGGGCAGTCACATTGTGTCAGGAATCATCAAGTCTCGTCCAGGTTTATCAGAGAAAGAGGGTCGAGGCGAAGGCGACTCGGCAAACCTAACGGCGTCGAGAGCTGAATCGTGCATCTCTAGAGCCAGACGGGCGGGACGCGCTGGAGGCTGAAAGAACACCTGATGTGGGATAGCGAGCCCATCGTCCGTACTACTGGCGTACTAACAGCGACGATCCAGGAGACGGCCTGGTCAGGTGGAGCTACTACCGAAGTTGATCTGCGGCTACCGCGAGGGCGACGCGAAGACGATCGTCTCGGGGTCTTCGGATGCTGGAATCCAGGAGGTATCTGTATTGCGGTGATGTCAAAGGGATAGCCTACATGAATACCTACGCCTACCGGTAACTAATAAGTACCTGCCTAGGTAGTCACCGGCCATTCTAAAGAGCCTCCAAGGCGCAGAGTTTCGTAGATGGACCGGGGAAAGAAATACTTCGGAGACATCACGTTGGGCATGCTGTGATCAAGTTCATGTCCATGTTAAACAACCTTCAAAAACAATGACATACTTGAAGGTAAGCGGATAGGGCAAAAGATTTCCAAGGGCTTGTCTGGCTCTGTTTTCAATCTAGAAAGTTGCTCACGCTGAGCCCCTGATACTTCATACTTACAGTAAGTAGGCGCCATTGAGTTCTTTCTTTTAAATTAATTCTTTTTCAAATCTTAGAGCCGACGCCGGCCCCCTCCCACGAGAATTAGAGTTACCCGCTCTATGTAGAAAGAAGAAGAAGAAAAAGAATGCGTACCTAAAGGGTCTAGTTTTGCAGCGACCCAGTCGGCAGTTGGTTTCTTATCCGCTGGTTCATCAGTCTTGATAATTCGCCTCCGGGAGAAGCAACCTTAGTTATTATTATTATTATGTATCTACTCCGTAAGTAAGTATCACCACCGAATGCCGTGTACTGCACACTAGCTTATTACCTACCTAGGTAGGTAGCATACCATCATCTTTTTTTGCTACCCCTGAGTCCTCTTAGAAGCTTAGAAGGGAACATAGCTAGCTAGATAGGCAGATAGGGGGTTCATGGCCCCTTAGAAGCATCTATTATCTTTATATAAAGAAACCAAAAACGAAACACCATCTTATGGTGCCTACGTAGGTGCCCTCTAGTAATCACGGCTCGGAAATGATAATTTCTTTTTCTTTCTTATTGCACAACTTCGGGCGAGGGTTTGATACCCCAGGTAACCATCCAGAAGGAGAAGAAAATGTTTTTTGTCGTTTGCTAACATCTGAGTTACCCACCCTGATATCATCTCGCCCGCGTAAAGCCATACCTAGGTAGTGATCTTGTCCCCCAGATACCTGCGTGGTGAGATGACGTGACGCAGTTGAATGAAGGAAATGTTCATTGACGTACCTATGTATGCTGAGCGTCGAGATAAATGCCCACCCGTGACATGTACATGTAGTAACCAAACTCACTGGTCAAGCCTACCTGGTATGTGTGAATGACCCTGACCCTGACCCTGATGGCTCGACTGACTTGATATACCGTACACATATATATAGCGCCGGCAGGCTCTTCCAATATCATTCTCATTCGAAGGTAACGCTATCGACAGAGGATTAATTATTACAAGAGTGCTAGGCTGGCCATCCAGTGGTTTGGACCACTGATCGAGTAATCATCGACCTTGAATCATGGCCTAGTAATCTCTTGTGGCTTGAGTGGCATGAGTGATGCAGGCAACCTGGTCTTGCGTGCATACTAGAAACATACGCTGAGCGAGACAGCTCTATGCTATTCTCGCGAAGCGGTACACAGTAGTACACAGTATATGACAGACTCCTCCCAGAGCTGTTCTTTGGCTTATTCACGTAGTACTTCGCGCGATCGAGGCCCATGTCGGTGGAAGCATCCATAAGAATGTGCATACCAGGAGGGTGAGCAACGCGAAGATAGCTCACCCCAAGCTCACTCTTTCAATCTTGAATATCTCAGATTGATCAAGCCCGTCTCATCGATCCGGTTGGCATGTCGCCTCTTCAACTGGGGTATCGGTGATTCAAAAGCTCCAGTCCCCTACTCCAAGCCATGCCATATCATGTCAAGGCAAGTAATGCAACGTCTTGCATTCACTTCGAGTTGGACAAACCAAGCCCGAGCCCAATAATAGCACATTAGCCCGTTTGACCGCCCGTACTACCCGTACTCGCCGGCCTAGGAGGCGGCGCCGGCATTTCACGATCCCTCTCCATGGCCACACCACCCATCATACCTAGAGACAATTGCTGCTGTTGTTGTTGTTGTTGTTGCTGCTGCTGCTGCTGCTGCGGCTGATGAGGCTCGCCCGGGATTACCTCGCCCTCGGAATCCTCACTATGCTGACTGCTCGTAGCCATGCCGGCGAGAGCCTGCTCGGCGACCTTCCGCTCGACCTCCTTTAGCCTCTCCTTCTCGACAGGGTCTACCAGATCGTCGTCGTCGCTCCAGTACCCCTCCTCAGCCTCGCCGACCTCGGGCATGGCCATGCGCTTCCAGAACCTCACCTCTTGTTTCTTAGCCTTGTCCTGAACGCGCTTCTCCCAGCGGCCCTCGTCCTCGTCGTACTTCTTTCGGAACTCGCGCAGCATCTGGTTGGCACGGCCGGCGTGCTCCTGCATGTCCCAGATCTGTTCGCGCAGGAGGGAATTCTCGGCGCGGGCTTCGGCAAGCTGGGCGCGATAGGAGCGATGCCAAGCCGAGACATCAGCGATGTGTTTTTGTTTGTAGGCGTGAAATTGGCCCAGAATCGTCTGTAGGATGCGGGCGTAGTTGGTAAGAAGAGAAAAGTTGGCGTCGCGGGAGAACTTGGCGCGGTCGAGGGACTCGGTGAGGATAGAGAGCAGGGCTTCGAGATTTGGTTCTTGGGCTTTTAGACAAGGTGTCAAGATATTAGTGACCTAGGACTAGAAATAGATAGAGAGAGAGAGAGGCAGCAAGAAGAAAGAGAGACGCGAGGCTTACCGAATATTTCTTGAGCCGATTCTCCCAGCACCTCGTCGTTTCCCAGACCCCTCTCGTGTGCCCGGTTCCGTACTCTACCCAGACCGGTGACGATGTCTTCGGTTACGCGGCGATTCTCGGCTAATTGACGTGAGAGCTCTTCGACCATTCCATAGATGATGTTGAGCTCGGCCTGGTGACCGGCAGGGGTAGGACCGACAGCCATGGGGCCGGGGCCGGGACCAGCTCCGTTGGCTTGCATGGCAGGAACAGGAGAAGCGTGGATAAAGAACTGCGGGTGTTGTTGGTGTTGCTGATGTTGGTGTTGCTGATGTTGGTGCTGCTGCTGCTGCTGCTGCTGCAATTGGTGGTGTAATTGGTAGTGGTGCAAATGTTGCTGCTGTTGTGCTTGATGCGATAAGTAGTATTGGCGTTGGAGGTCTTCCGGGGTGGGTGTCCGACCCGGAGGGGGTTGATGTTGTGGCTGCTGCTGTTGCTGCTGCTGCTGCTGCTGCTGTTGCTGCTGCTGTTGCTGCTGCTGTTGCTGTGGCTGCTGCTGTCGGGTGAGCGATTGACGAGGTACCTGTGGGGTTGCTATGTTGCTGCTTGTATCAGGAGATGAAGAAGGCGAAGACGAAGACGAAGACGACGAAGACGACGGTGACGATGCTGGTATTATTGAAGTCGGATAGTTCATATTGGAGAGAGAAGGGAGATACCGATGCGCTAAGAATTCAAGCTCATGGGACTAGACTGGGGGCGGTTGTGTGCTGCTGCTGCTGCTGCTGCTGCTGGACTGCTGGACTGCTGGGGTACGAAGTACACGAGATCCCTTACCCCATGGGACACCACTGGCCACTCGTACCTCCCAAGGTCAGTGATTCGCGACAGGCCTTCTTGAAACTTTTGCAACGATAGCAAGGTGATGAATCTGGTGTTGGGGGCATTTACGCGAATCGGATGAATGGGTTGTAAATGAAGCAAATCACAGGCCGTCAGATCTCGGCGGCTGTTTACGTGATTGGGTGATTCTGTCGTCAATATTCAGTATTCAGCCAATTACACAGCAGAAAGCCTCTGTACGCAGTAAGTATCGCCACTGGCAGCAGCATGTGCAGTGGCAAGATACACGTACATAAGATAATATAATATCCATGGATGGGTGCGGGTGGCCTTGAAAGACATGTAAACAGAAACATTGAATTGAGAAACATGTGCCCTTTAACGAGAATCTCTAAATACCTAGGTAGGTATCAACTACATGCTCGATGATGACGGCACCACGTATTTAGATGTACTTAGGTAAGGTACCTAAAGTACAAGATACCAAGTACCGCTAGTGTGTCAGGTCAAATACTCAATACAGAAGGTACGGTTGAAACCTATCTGTCTTTCAAGCAGCAGCTGCAACTCTCAACACCTGTGGATTTTCAATTGGATCTTAAGGTTCTGCCAATCCTAAGTTGACTATTTAAAACTTCAATCCCGCACATCTATCAAGTCCTGAATTTGCTGTCAGATTCCGCAAACAGTACGACCAGACAGATATCCTCCTGGGGTGGAGGGAGGGGGCGTTTTTTAGGTCCATCTGTGGGCTTAGCTTAGTATAGGTCATAATAACAGCTCGACGATCAGCATCCAATCGGGGATTGTTCAATAACCCCCGTGGCCTAATGGTTAAGGCTTTGAACTTCTATTCACAACACTGAATACGAGATTCAAGGATTGTGGGTTCGAGTCCCACCGGGGGTTTTTCTTTTGTGTATCATTCATTCGGCAGGATGAATCCTTCACATTTTGCCCTTTGATGGTTTTTTTCCCCACCTTCACTGCTTATAGTGCTATCATCGCATTGTCAGTGTAGAAAACCCCAATTATGTGAGCCCAATCTGGTTGCAGCTGTAGCAGCCTTCCCCAGCCTTTGGGTGCTGACCCCTTTTTTGAGGCCGAATTTCCTTCAGTATTACCGCTTCAAAGTTGGCCATATTTATGCATAACGGACTCCTTATTCCATTTATGTGTGAACTGTACCAGATATGCCATTTTCTGGCTTCAGGCTGTCATAAGAGTCAAGTCATCATACCCACCACCCACACTTGTTTCCCAGCCTCTAATGGAGTGAGTCACCAATTCAAATTTTCGGCAGATTGCTTCATATTCAGGCGGCTGCCATACATCGGCCACAGGGGATAGAGGTACTGCATGTTGAGCCTTCCCACTACCTTGAGTTGGTAATCTCTAGTTCGAGACGGCTGTTGTGAATTTTCCGAGCCTTAACACTCAACAGGTGTCTATTAGGCAGGGGAAGTGAGCAAGAACGCAGGCTTCGAATCACCATGCAGTGGCTTTAACAGCTGTGGAATATCAACTTAGAAGTTTTCATAGTGTATATATATAGCCTTGCAGAGAACTGGATAGGAGGTGTAGGAGGGGGTAAAGGGGAAAGGGGAAAGGGGTCGGGTTGAAGGTGCATAAGGGAATAAGGGGCCTCTACAAAGGAGTCCGAGGAGAGTAAATTCTGGTTTCGGTTCATGGGGAGAGTATTATCTATTGTCACGTATTTCTGGCAATTTGATTAATGTTATTCATTGATATTCATCTGCAAAAAGATCATTATCCCCAGCTCTGTGGCCCAGGCTGCTAGGAAATAGGGGTAATCAATCGAGTAAAGCAAGCCCATCTACTACTACATTAAGTACACGCCAGCACCAAAACGGCCAAAACAAAGTCCCATCTACTATTTTCCCAACAGTCTCATTTCCAAATATAAAGTTTGAACGAGTTGTGACTATGTTGATGGATAGTCGGATAGTGTATGAACATCGAGGCCAAATCAGCCTCAAACCTTCGCGTTCGATGGCCCGTCGCCGCGACACATGACCATGTTCACGCGCCCAATCTCACTGTGTTCGAGGCTTGAGTAAAGATTCTTCTCTCTTGTTCTCTCCTGCTCTCGCGGATCATTGTTTCTGTTGTGAAATGCAGTTGCTCAGCAGCACCAGAACCATAAACCTTTCTCCGGTACTGGTTCTTCTCATCAACCCCTAGCGCATAAAAGACGTCTCTGCTGAACAGGAACACTACTTTTCTTCCTTTCTTCGCCTACCGTTGCGCCACGTTCACTCGCGCTGTCTTTCGGCGACTTTCTGGGTGATCTATCCTCCTACTTACCTACGTCCTGACTGGTCTCTTCGAAAAATCTCCAAAAATCTGGGAAACGGACAAGACATTGTTGTTGGTATTATTGTATAGCAGTCATCAAAACACCCTCTGACATTCATCTCATACATCAGACTCACCACCCATACCTTCATCGACCAAAATGCCACTACCGCAAGAAGCACCGCCAGTCAGCGCCCTCCGGCCGTCTATCAATATCAACGTCACAGCCATTCCCACGCCCCCTCGCACCCCTTCTCCCCCGGGACAGCCCACCACCACGACCACCCCAACCTCACCCTCCCATCCCGAGCCCACACCCCTCCAAGGCGTGATAACCACGCGCCAATTCTGCCTCATGGCCCTCTCCTCCAGCATCGGCGCCGGCCTGCTCCTGAGCACCTACATCGGCCTCGCCGTCGGCGGTCCCGCGGCCCTCCTCGTCGCCTTCGCGGTGGTCGGCCTCGCCGTGCTCATGACCACGTGCGCGCTCTCGGAGCTATCCATGGCTTCCTCGGATCCGCAGACGACGACGGCGGCGGCGCCGCCGTGCGGCTCCTTCTACGCCTACTCGGTGCGCTTCATCAGCCCCGCCTGGGGCTTCGCCATGGGCTGGAACTGCGTGCTCAACTTCATCATCATCGTCCCCTTCGAGCTCACCGTCATGTACCTGTGCACGCGCTTCCGGACCGGTGATTCAGGTTCAGGTTCAGGTTCAGGTTCAGGTTCAGGTTCAGGTTCAGGTTCAGGTTCAGGTTCAGGTTCAGGTTCAGGTTCAGACCACCTCCGGCCCGAGTACCTCATCGCCCCCTTCATCGCCGCCCTCGCGCTCATCTACGCCTTCGGCGCCCGCTGGTACGCCGAGGCCGAGAACCTCTTCGGCGCCCTCAAGGTCCTGGTCCTGGGCGCGTTCGTCGTGGCCGCAGGCGTGATCTTAGCCCGCGCGGCGCCGCCCGCGGACGACGCGCGACCCCGGAGGGAGATCGGGTTCCAGCTGTGGCGCGACGGTGGCGCGTTCCTGAACGGCGCCCCCGGGTTCCTGTACGTGTTTACCGCGGCCGCCACGGCGTACGGCGGGACCGAGATGCTCGGGCTCACGGCGGCCGAGTGCGAGCAACCGCGCCGGGTCATGGGGCTCGCGTCCAAGATCGTCGCCGCCCGCATTGTTTTCCTGCACCTCGTGCCCATCTTGCTGGTCGGCCTCGTGCTCCGCGTCCCGCTGACCCGGGATACCGTGGCCCACCTGGTCAGCCCCTTCGTCGCCGCCGTGGCCGAGGCCGGGATCCCCATGCTGCCCCACCTGATGAACGGGATCATCATCGTGTCCGTCTTCAGCATGGCCAACGCGAGCGTCTTCGCCAGCTCGAGGGCCCTGGTGGCCATATCGTCCCAGGGCATGGGCCCCCGGTTCTGTACCAAGGTCGTCCGGGGCCGCCCCGTCGGTGCCCTCGCCGTCGTATTCGCCTTCTCCCTGCTCGCCTTCGTCGGGGCGGCCCCCAACGGCTCCGAGATCTTCACCTGGCTTCTGGCCCTGGCCGCGGGATCGAACTACTTCACCTGGATCTCTATCTGTCTGTGCCAGATCCGGCTGCGTCTCGCCATGCGGAAACAAGGGGTCGACGAGTCGACCCTTGCGTACAAGAGTCCGTTTGGGATCTGGGGCAGCGTCTTCGCGATTGTCCTATACCTCTTTGGGCTCATTGCACAGATCGTGGCCACCGCTCTGAGCCCGCTTCCCGATCCGCCGCATGTCTTGTCTGGTATACTTGGGATCATCGTCGTCCTGGTGTTCTGGATCGGATATATGATCTGCAAGAGAGAGTTCGTGCTGCTTGTACCTTTGAGTGGGATTGACCTCAAAACGGGCGATGGCCATAAAGATCCCGTCATCGATTTGCTCGAGTCACCTTAGGTTGGATATGTTGGAAGTGGATGTTATATGCCTCGATAGAAGTGCAGTGCGAATTTTGAATGCATGTTAGTTTTGCATAGCGGGAAATTGTTGTTGGAAACCCCCTTTTCATGCTTGCTGGGAGGTGCGTCAAGTGGATTATTGGGTGACGTACCTACTGCATTCATTGCTTTTAAATTGATCATTTCGTTGTATGGTGTATCTGGGATCTCATGGGCGTTCGAGACGGAGACGATATGAGACGTCAGTCACGGAGGAGGGACTACGTGTGGGAACCTGTCAAAGTTGATGATACCCCCAACTAGGGAACAAAACCCCCTTTAGCGACTTAGAATGTAATTTAAAGCAATGAAACAATTCAAACATTCACGTTTGATGCCCTCTGCTCCGTATTGATATCATTCACTCCTGCGACTTGCTGTTATAGTTGACAAGCACAAAACACCCCATTGGTATACTCAAACATCCCGCGGCCAACCTTATTACCCCGTCAGCATTAAACTTCGTAATCTGGGAACCGTGTACTTGCACAGTCGTTCCTAACATATCAATCCCTCCTTTCCCCTAACGCCGATCTCGTGACACAGAAACTTCTCCATTTTACGCTGATACGGCGGCGGTCCTTCTTTGGGAATGCGAATCACCTCTCCTCGAGCCAGTAGCCTTAGGTCTAGCCAATGTGTACTTGGCAAACGCTCTCGCGAGTGCCTTCTTACAGCTGACCTTCTGACTACCGACAAAGCTGTCAACAGTCACGGCAATAGCCCTGTCGATATCCTGTGCGGAACAGTACTCCGATAACCTCATACGGCAAAAAGCTTCCGAGATTCGGATGATAGCCTCCAAGTGACGAACCTAGATAACAAATGAGTCTCGAGACATAGTCAGACAGAGTTCATAGCAACTTACAGTAATGGGGTAGGCACCGGTGGCTAACGATTCTCTTCGCATATCTGAGAAGAGCCTGGCAACTTTATCCTCATCCATGTGAAGGAGTTTGGGCTGACAGTGGTCGCGAGCATACAATATGTACTTGCGCAACAACTCTTGGGGGATCTCACCCTCCTTTGCGGGCATATCTTGACTCTCGCCGACGACCTCGGAGTCGGGTTCTACGTCCATAGATGATTCCCCAACTTGGCTTTGGGTGGTTGGATGACTTCGGCTGTGAGAACCGACAATGAAGCGGGCCAGACGTTCGTCCTCGTCAGGATCCACAGTATCCCGAACGACGCATAGGATGTCGAAACGGGACAGGATAGGCTCCGTCAACTCAACATTGGCAGAGAAGGGGATTGTTGAGTTGTAACGGCCGCCTATGGGGTTGGCCGCAGCAATGATACCACAGCGTGCCTGTAGAGTGGTCACGATACCAGCCTTGGAGATGGAAATAGTCTGCTGTTCCATAGCTTCGTGGATAGAGGTTCGATCCTGGTCATTCATCTTGTCGAACTCGTCAATGAGACAAGTCCCCTTGTCCGCGAGCACAAGAGCGCCTCCTTCCAAGGTCCATTCGCTGGTCAGAGGATCTCGTCGGACACTAGCCGTAAGACCAACCGCAGAAGCACCTTGACCGGTGGCGAAAACCGCCCGGTGCGCTGTCTTCTCGACGTACTTGAGAACCTGAGATTTGGCAGTACCCGGATCCCCGAGCAGGAGAACGTTGATGTCTCCTCGAACA